TAGGTCTACTCCTAAGCAGTCTCTCTGTCGACTGTCTTTCGTCTCCATTTCCGAAAGTGGCGCTCGCTATGGAGATGCCGCCGTCTGATCTGCTGCTTAAATTGCGCCAAAAAACCACCCATTGCGTGGATTACCCAGTGACCGTCTCTAACATACGGACGGACTTGAGCCCTTCAGTTCGTTTTAGAAACCTCGGCCTAGAGCGTACTTGGCGAAAATGACCTTCAGTGAACCAATCTAATGTCAGGACAGACTTGAGCTCTTGGCCTAGAGCCTACTTGAGCGTTCTTCGTCATTTTTCGATTGCCTGATCCCTTTGTTTCGCTGCCTTTCAGCATTATTTCCTATCATGATCTTGCCTGTTTGCGTGCAGTCGTTTGCGAGGGGCCAGCCTTACGTTTGTGCACTTTTATTTTCTGTCCCCGCCGTTGCTGCAGTGACTGCAAGAAGAACAAGGGCAGTATCTTGAAAAACTCGGTGGAGTATATCTGCGCTCTGCGTGCGGAAAACTCCTGCTTTGGCGATCTTCGCAGAGAGGCCAGCTTGGCGACTGGAGTGATTACAAAGCTGGTGAAACGTATCCAGGTCTGACTCCTCTCCTTTTTTTTGTTTTCGTGTGTCTGTTTTCAACCGTCTGGACCTCTCTGCTACATTTCTCTCTGTCTGTCAGTTTTTTAACACCACCAATGAAAGTGTTTGTTTGCTTCAACAGCGTCGTACCAATAGTCCTGGCTTGTCTGGCACCGTGACCCTTAAACCTTGCAGTCGTAGGACCTGCTTGTCTCGCCTTACGCTCGCCGCTTGGCAGTCTTGTGGTAGGGCGCGGTTGTTTCAAATGACATGAGCTTACTCGGTCAGTAGGGCAACGCGGTGGCTCTTTCCAGTCTCGGCGCAGAGTAACGTCCTGTCAACTAATGAAGTTCTCTAGCACTCAACCGGACGAACCGTACCGTATTTCTGTTTTATGAATCCGTGTTATCTGCTACTTGCTGGCGAAACAGTGCCTCGGCTTTGATTGCTGTGGACGCCATGCTAGTGTGTGCTCCTGTTATTCATGTTCTCGCTCTCAGGATCTTGCCGAAGATCGGATCGGATCACGGCTCTATAATTTGGAAAGTCCAAAAATAAACTTTACTCTGTCACTAATTTGGAGTTTGAATGTCGAGACTTACTGTCATTTCCGGTAAGAAGGGTGCGGCGAAAGTGGTGATGCTTTTGAGTAGTACTCTCTCTGTTGGTGTTGTTACTGATTCCTCCTTGAAGAAAACGGCTAAACGTTATCAGACTGACAGTGCTGGCCTTTTTGTTTTTTTTGTATTTCGTTGTGCAGATTGTAAACACTCAAGCGAGAAGGAATGAAGTTTGATATTTTTGAAACTGTGGATGTTCAATAATTTGTCTATCTAATGAAATTATAAACGAACTTCGATCAGAAAGGGTGACTTAGACGGGGTTATAGTAGTAAGTATCATGTTATGAGTTTATATTTAATTGTTTAATTACATTTATTATTTTATTAAATTAATTTATTTATTTATATGAGGTTATATTTAACCTCAGGATATTTCGGTCTCGATTGAATGACGGTTTTTGAATGAATTTCCTTTCGGCCGCCTACAAAAACTACGCCGATACAAAGCGCATTCTTAAGTAATATTGATTTTCCAAATTGCCTTTTGATGCTTCATGAATTTAAATATACTTTTAAGAAAACATGAATAAAAATATTATTTCCTTCGTATTCACTTCATAGAAATTAACGTCTTGTTTACAATTTGTACCCGAGAAAGAAATATATTTCGGTTTTGATAAAAAATTTCTGTTGCCGAATTAACTTGAACCCGACTTGCAGTCGGATTTGTGCTTGGGGTTTCCAAAATACGTGGTGCTGTTTAGGAGGCTGAATATGAGGCTAGTAAAATGTTTCTATAGATGTAGACTACGTTGTGCACTTCCTAAGCAACTTTTATACAATGCAGTATGAGCGAACATTCCACGATCTCCAAAAGTCTCATGATTGCAAACTTTTCATAAACTGTCAGTATTAAAGACGACATAATTTGCTATGAATTTAATACGAGAAATAATATTTGTTGTCATGTTTTCTACATCATATAGTTCAACCTACATGAACATTGAGGAAACATTTTGTTTTCGGGTGTAACTTTTTTGGGCGGCTGAAACGAAGCTCCTTTAAAAACCGGCAGCCTCTCCTGACCGAATAAGCTTGAGATTATGTTGCACGATAATCAGTGTTCACAACTCCACCTAAGTAATCGCTCCTAATCATAAACACATCTTGGACTTTTTGTTGGCAGTTTATTAGGTAGACACGCTACTGTATGTCCGAAGTTTTCAGCTTTCATGCGGTCATCAGTCCGTCAGTCATGTCGTTAATTTATTAGCCTATTTAAACTCAAAACCGTACTTTTGTCTGTAAATACACTTTTTTTCACCGCCTCAAATTCTCTCTCGCCCGGCTTCCAGTTCTTCTTGAAGGAGTTTACTGTAAACCGGTCTATAACGGTATGGCCTTCCGCACGCTAACTTATTATGTGTCCGAAACCATCACATGGTCGGTGGTTTCGTTTTACTGCCGAATGTCTGCCCATTGTCAGGAGTTAGCGCAAGAGATCTATCCTATTTTCTGCTCTATATATTGTGCCTGGGTACTAAATTAGTTGAAAACCGAAAGAGGTCAAAAAAAAAGTAGCTGAGGACTCTTACTCTATCATCATGCTGGCGTGTGCTACTCTAATGACTTGTACCTTCCACCTTGCTCATCTGACCGACCGCTCTAGCTTTTTTTAGGGACCCAAGGAGCCAGTTTGCTCGTCTCTCTCTCCCCCCCACTACCACCATCCAAACGGATACGGGCGTTCTTGCCGTTTGCTGCCGTTTGTACACAACCTCTGTTTTTACCTCTTTTTTGTTTGTTTCACTCACTCCAGGATCTAGAGTCTTTCCTGGCTCCCGAGTACCTCGCCAAGGTCTCCTCCACTGACTACCAGACGCAGTTGCAAGAGTGGGCATCCACACACGAAGCCAACCAACAGCGCATCAACACTGCGCTTTCTTCACCGGTGCCTCGACCGGCGCCCGTGTCGCTAGACACCAGCGAGTCCTCCCCCGGCATGTCCTCAATTGGAAATGAGGATCTGGGCTATCCCGACGCCAAAGGTGTTACCTCGGGTGAGTCGGATACCCACACTGTCGGAGGCCTGGGGAGGTAGATGTGGTCTTTTTTATGGGGAAGGGTAAGAAAACCAGTTGGCACGGGGGTAATAAGGGTTTATAGGTATCACCATAGTATGACACGCCCCACGATTTGTGTTCTACGCGAC